GATGGTTGACCATGTCAATGGTTGGCCATGGCACCGTTGACCACGGCGCTGTTGACTATGTCAATGGTTGACCAAGTCAATGGTTGACCAAGTCAATGGTTGACCATGTCAACGGTTGACCAAGTCAATGGTTGACCAAGTCAATGGTTGACCATGGCGCTGTTGACCACACCCATGGCTGACCACGCCCATGGCTGACCACGCCCATGTCTGGCCACGCCCATGACCGCTGGCCGTGCCCGCAGGGCGTGCGGTACCTGCACCACCGCGACGTGGTGCACGGGCGCCTCAAGTCGCGGAACTGCGTGGTGGACGGGCGCTTCGTGCTCAAGGTCACCGACCACGGCTACAACCAACTGCTGGAGGCCCAGCGCGTGCCGGCCCCGCCCCCGCAGCCCCACGGTGAGGGCGTGGGCGTGGCCGCGTGGGCGTGGCCTCGTGGGATCGATGTGGGCTCAATTGGGGGCGTGGCCTTGGGTGGGTGTGGCCAATGGGGATGGGCTAAGAGGAAGGGGCGGGGCCTTGAGGCGAGTGTGGGCTGTGGAAAGGGGCGTGGTTTTGATTTGGGGGCGTGGCCTTTTAAAGGGGCGTGGCCTTTTAAAAGAGTGTGGCCTTTCATTTAGGGGCGTCTTTTAGGGGCGTGGCCTGAAGGTGTGGGTGGGGCACGGTGGGGGCGTGGCCTGGAGGGTGTGGGTGGCTCTTCCATGGGGTGGGGGTGGAGCTGGGGAAAAGGGGGTGTGGCCAAACCCAACCCCACCCAATTAAGGCGGGGTCTTACTGGAGAGGGCGTGGCCTCATGTGGGCGTGGCCTGTCAATTCAGGTCTGTCCCAGGTGGTGGCTATGGAGGGGGCGTGGCTTGTACAAAGGGGGCGTGGCCTGACAGTGCCACCCCCCACCCCCCCGTGCCTTTTGTGGGCGTGGCTTCACGCTGCCCACGCCGGGGGCGTGGCCACACCCTCAAAGCGGCCTCCCATTGGCTGCTGGGCTGGGGCGGGCGTGGTCTAAGGGGGTGGGTGTGTCCGAGTGGGCGTGTCCGAGGCTGGCCCCGCCCCCCCAGAGCGGCTGTGGACGGCGCCGGAGCTGCTGCGGGACGCGGCCCTGGAGCGGCGCGGCTCCTTCCGGGGGGACGTCTACAGCATCGGCATCATCATGCAGGAGGTGATCTGCAGGAGCCCCCCGTACTGCATGCTGGGGCTGCCCCCCGAAGGTCAGCGCCCCAAAAACGACCCCAAAAACGAGTTCTGCACCCCCAAAAACCCCCAAACCGACCCAAAAA